CTTTTCATGTTCTTCACATTTTTATATATTACATGCATTCTTTACATTTTCTGGACATTCCAGTAAAGCAAGTAAGCATTCACAACTGATATAAACTTAAACGAAATTAAAACAATTGCCTATTGCAATCGTTAGGAATTTCTTCTAATTCGAAATAACGATAATCACTTCACTATTTTTCATTCAACATATACTTAACGACGTTACATATAATAATGGTAAAAGACAGTAAAAGTATGTAATGAGACAAATATTAAACATTTGCCAACTGATACAAACCTAGTGTAACTTAAAAAACTACCTACTACAACTGAAGCTTGTTAAGAATTTATTCTAGCTAGAAATAATAATCATTGATTATTACACGGCGTTTGCGGTACATTTCTTGAGCATCAAGTTCACGAAATACATGCAGAGCGAGACGAGCGCTACTTGGCAGCGTAACTGCGGCTTCTAATTCGATTCTTCCGCGAATCACGGTTGCGATAAACGACTCTAAAATTGCACGACGGGATCGCGTGCCGCGATTCAATATTCCCTGTCGATTTCGATCCGGATCGCTCGCGGCGCCATTCTAAAAAAAGCAGCACCACGTGATCCATCAATCTTATCCTCTCCCCGTCTCCGAGAAAGCCTTGATCGCTGATCGTAATTGTTCCCAGTTGTCACAACAATCTCATCCCAGTTATCATCGACTAGTTTGCCACAGTTAACGGACGTAATTGTATTAATTATAGAACCATAAAATATTACAGAAAATATGATATTTTTTCTTATATCTGACGATTTCATTGCTTTTGTTATGAATTTGCTAATTGAGAAATTTTGTTATAATTCAATTTCCACTGTGGTATTTGAACAAAGGTGAATTACTAAAATAATGATCATCTCATCGTGTTCGATTATTCTACATTTTCGTCCATTTCTCGACCTTGGGCGCCAGTTTCAATTTCATCGCCACTCAAAAGGCGTATGCACCTGGCTCTCGATCGTTTTTCACGCGAAATCACGGTACGAGGAAACTGGTTTTCCGACGACGGCCCGGCGTCGCGGCCCATTCATGAGCCTCCGACGTCACGAGCCACCGTCGTTTGGACGTCGGCCAGCCAGAGAATCGCGACACTGTCCCCTCTGACTCGTCCCATCTGGAACCGCGTCCCATCTCATTTGTCCTCTTGCTCGGTTTCATTGTCGCGAACGTCGATTCGTCCCTCTTCCTCGTCAGAATGCGTTCGACTAAATTTAGAGGTCTGTCGAGGATGTCTGCGCTCCTTGCCTCTTCTCGTGGCTTCGAAGGCCTATGATCATCAACTAGAAAGCTCGTCGCGCTCATCAAGATTAATTATTTCTAATAATCTTTACTAACTCTCATCCTGGAATCGTAATTAATAAAAAATTACGTAAAGTCAAGTATTTTCAGTTTAGTCTCTTTTTAATTTGCTTATTCTGAGATATTTTAATTCAGCAATCGTCAAATTTAATCATTTTTAATAATCTTTAACAATTCTCATCCTGGAATCGTAATTAATAAGAAATTATATGAAATTAAGTATTTTGAATTGAGTGACTTTTTAATTTGCTTTCTTTGAATTCATTGAATTCAGAACAGTCTTCAATGTTCTCAAATATAATTAATCAACTAATCAATTGTATTTGTGGGCACTGAAGGCAGTTCTGAACTCAATGAATTCAAGGAAAGCAAATTAAAACACCTAGTATATTCAAAATCCTATATAATTCCTTTTTAATTGTTTGAAGATTTCATATGTTAAAATTGGTTCAGCTGAAGCTGTTGCTTATTGTGACCGTAAGAAGAGCACAGAGAGGGAATTCCATCTCGCCCACTGTTTCCTGAACGCGATGATCTTCCAGTTTATACTGGTGCAACTACTCGAATCTCGTGTTGGTCTTGTTGCTTGAATTCTTTTGTCTTCTCGTGTCCAAACATCCTTACCGTTCGTGTACAAACGACTAATTGTCTCGAGAGCGCTCTCTTTTCCTCGACGGAAGTCGATCGCGTTTATTGTCTTTGCAAGTTCCGCTCCCGCTTCTTTTTCCAGACGCATCGTCACGTGTCCCACTGTGTGTCTGATATTTCTTCGCGGGTCGTTATATTCAAGTTGTTTGATCGTCACACGAGGAAACAGATGATGCATCGCACAGCTCTGTGCACAGTACGTTGTTACAATTCAGTGTCTATTAAAGTCAAGATTGATCAAAGTGGAATACATTTTTTTATATATTATAATTAATTACATTATTAATTGTATCATAATATATTCTTATATTCCACTTTGCTCAATCGCTTGCATTTTTTGGACCTAGAATTGTTTGAAAATAACAATATATTTTCTACTTTGAAAATATGTAATGACTTCTATACTTTATCTCATCGTTTTATAAGATTTGTCTCATCAGTGAAAGTTTGGAAAATCCAACTTTTCTTGTTTATGGAGGAATTATCGACAGTTCGCACGCGAATTCGATTTCTGCATATGACATCACACGCGAGCCATCTGTTTCGGTTTCTGCACCAGGAATAGAGATAAACATTTCGAGAGGCTCGCGTCCTGCCTCTTTGTCTTTTATTCCGTTTCTCTCTTTATATTCCATCACGTGAAAGCTCGCTGCTTCTGGCAAGTTTACTTGGATAAAAAGCTATTCCCAGATACGAACATCGGCGTAAACAAAAATTCTGGCTCGGCCAACATGTAGTATGCAATCGATGCTACTTCCAATTTTCATTTGATTCATTTAAATATTGTTTAATTAATTTTTATACTCATAAGAAGCAAATATATGTTACAGAAGAACTGTTTATTATGTTTTATAATTCTATTTCTACCAACATGTAATACAAAGTCGATATTGCATTCGTTTTTCACTTGACTCATTTAAAAATTGTGTACTCAAATTATTTGATCAACTTTTTATACTCATAAGAAGCAAATAGATGTTACAAAAGAACTGTTCATTACGTTTTACAATTCTAACTATACCAACATGTAATACACAATC